TCAGTTAGTCTAATCAGTCCCAAAAATTTTCTAATACATTGATAAGTCCTGTTTGTTTTGATAATCTTACTATGAGATCCTATTTTGAATTTTGGTATGATTTAGTGGACGTTTCCACATTCCCATTAGGGGACGTCATCTTAGGAAAATTGAATCTAATTTTTGAATCACGTTTCTATCACTCAAATGTAACACTCTAAAAAAAAACTCATTAATATATGTTTTACAAACGTAACACTCTAATGTACACTCCAAACGTAACACTCAAATATATACTTCAAATGTAACACTCCAATGTAACACACACAAAAAATTCATTAGTGTATTTTTTCCAAACGTAATATTCCAATGTAATACACTAAAAAACTCATTAGTGTACTTTTTCCAAACGTAGCACTCTAACAAACAATAATAATTAAAGAGATTATAATTACAAATGAGTCATTATATATTCAAAATAACTAAATGAATCATTAAATAAATAAATAAATTATGAGACTAAGGCTAAGTTTGGCATTTTCAAAAAAAAGTTAAAAAGTCACTATCCTATTTAAGTCATATCATCTTATTTAAGTCACATTACCTCTCTACCACATCACTTCAAACCCAACCTATATTTCATAAAAAGTCAAAAAATACAATTATTTAGAACATCTCAAATAACCCCTAACTAAAACATAATTCTAACCTATAGTTTATCGATAAGTCTGTCAACTATGATAGGTGGGTCATATCGAATTCTTAGGTTTCGTTTGACAAGTGGTGATTTTAGTCAAAAAATTACTAAAAAAAATCAAAAAACCAATAACATATATCAAAAAGTTAAAAAAAAAAATTTCTTTCTATTTTTTGCACATCTTTTCATAAAAAATTAAAAAATTATTTCAAATATACTAATTTTTTTTACATCATATTTTAATTAAAAATTAAAAAATTACTAAAAAACTTATTTTCAAACGGGCCTTTTTATTAGGCATATGATAGTTTGCCCTACCATTTTGATGGGGATGGGAGGACTTTTGGATCCATTCGTTGGTTGTATTATCCTTTTTGTCACCTATGTATGTTTGATATGATAGGAGACCAAATCCAAACTATAAAGCATTTACCAAAATTTAAAAAGAAAATATAAAGCATCTACCTATTGATATGTTCTAAGGTCTAGTTTGTTTTTAGAGGTAGCATGAAAGGGATTGATAGTTAGAGAATTAATAATGAGACAATCGATAGTGAGGGATTAAGTAAAATTATATTTTTTTTTATAATAGTTGTTAATATGGAGATTGTTAAATTATTACCTTATAAAAGAAATATAAAATATTAAAACAAATAAAATTATGATTTTTACTTAATAAAAAATACAAAAACATTAAACATTAATGTTTAAAAAAAATGCCCATCATGTAAATAAAAAAAATTAAAAATTAAAAAAACCTAATCCCATGAGTCTAATTTTCTAATACCATCTCTACCTCCTCCATCTCAATCCCAACACCAAGGCTCATCCTAATCCTATGGGGTTATGAATCATCTCTCTATCTCTCAAAACAAACACAACATATAGTGGATCTCACTTCCATCTCAATCTCATTCTCACTTCTATCTCTCAAAACAAACGGGGCTAAGCTGCATCCGTGACATGAATAGGCCCTTCATAATAGTAAGAGTAATTACACTTGAGTATATATTTAAAATAATATTTTTAAATTAATGATAAATTTTATAAATATTAAAATATAAAATTATAAATTTTTTCATGTAATAGTAATTAATGTTTTGAAAAATCTTCTCCCTAATAATAACAAGCATCATAAATTATTAAATAAATAAATTTTAATTCAAAAATTGATGAAAAAATAAGTAATAATTGTCATTGTTGTTCATTTATTTATAGACTTAAAGGTATTTTAATATTTTAATAGTTTTTTTAAAAAAAATAATTTCATACTAAATTTTATTTAGTACATGAAATGATAAAAATCCACCACTACTATTATAACATCTCCAACCATTATCATTTGAAGAAGTTAGGAGTAAATTCCGTTTGTTTTGGGTTATGTAGGTGGATGGGGATTAGGATGGTAGAGGTGTTATTTAGTATTGTGTTTATTTGTAGAGTTAGGGAGGGGATTGAGATAGAGGTTGGGGAGATGGCATTAGAAAAATAGTGAGGGGATTAGAAATATATTTATTTTTTTTATTTTATATATATTGAGAATTTTTTTATAAATATTAATGTTTAATTTTTTATATTTTTTTATTTGTTTTATTATTTTATGTAAAAATAATTTAACAATTCCTACATTAACAACTATCATCAAAACAAACACAATTTTACTTAATCCCCTCACTAACAATCCCCTAACTATTAATCTCCTCACTATGAATCCCCTCCATTCTACCTCTGAAAACAAACGGGGCCTAATAAGTATACTTATTGTCCAATAAGTCTCATAATAATTAATGACATTTTTCACAAAATATTATTAAAAAATATCATTAATTATTAATTTTCAACGACAGTTTAAAAATTTTATCGTAAAAAATGTCAATAATTATAAGTTTTAACAATAGTTTAAAAAATCGTCACAAAAAAGTTATTAATTTTCAACTTTCAACGACAATTTGAAAGATTCGTCACCAAGAACGTCATTAATTGTAAATTTTAGAGACAATTTCATAAAACTCTTGACAAAAAAAAAATCAATAATCGTCAATTTTTAGCAATATATGCAAAAAATTGTTACAAAAATTATTTTTAACGACGATTTTATTAAGATTTATTTTCAATAGGACTTGATAAAAATTAAATCCAACTATTAAGACCTATTGGTATTTTACCCTAGTCATTTTGAATTCACAACGATAATTTGAATCATTGATTTCGTAAGTTCAACAATAAAGATTAGTTGTGCAAAAAATCAATTTCATTGAATATCACTAAACAGACAAGTATGGGTTTAAACTTAAATAGTATGGGTTTAAAATTAAATCGTTTATTTTATATATATATATATATATATATGATTTGTTCGTCTATCTGTTGATATTAAATGAAACTAATTTTTTGCACAAATAATCTTCACTGTAAGATTTACTAGATGAACAATTTGGATCATCATTCTTGGTCCAACATAGATCCCACAAATAATTGAAATACAAAGGATAGTGATAGGAAGAGAAGTTATTTTCGTAGAGAAAAATCACAGAAGATTGATCAAGCCGTAAGAACTTCAAAATATAATTTAGGTCTTGAGTTCGGATCATTTCAATGAATCATTGAAATTTTTTCCAATCATTAAGCTTAGAATCCTGCAAATTACTAATTACTAAAAGATAAAAAGAACATTAGTAGAGAAGCACAACCCAGTAAAGTGACCTCGGGCTCATTAGTATTTAGGATAAATTACATTAATCTCCCTTGAGGTTTTTAACAATTACACAGGCCTCTCTTCTTTTTTTTTTAAATTATATTGACCTCTTTTGAGGTTTATTTTTTATTTGCACATTCTCCATTTCTTTTAGTTAGCCGTTAGTTTGACTAACAGTTCTAACTTTTTTGAGGGGGGCAAAAGTTAGTGATTAGTAGTTAGATTAGCAAATAGGGAGATTTCAGTTTAATTTGTATAACATTTGAAGTGATTATTTGTAAATTAAAAATAAAAAAAATCAATTAATCATTTTTTTAGATAATTATTGATACCAAATGAGAAATAGAAGAACTTGTACATATGTATTCCAATAAATTATATTTATAGTCAAATCATCTGATTATCTAAGAATATTATTTAATACAATTCAAATAAATACATGTTGTGTCTTAATTTGATTTTTATTAATTTAGATAGTGAGACTCATCCATTTTATCTTCTTTTTTTTTTTTTAAAGATAATTAAACTGTATGATGTCAAGTATTGATTAAAACTACTAAATAACTTCTGTTGAATTTATGTAATTAATTTTTTAATTTGTTTCATTATTACTTTTGTCATAACAATATGTTATTTTAAAACACACACTATAATATGTGTACAATATACAAATTATAATATTTATAATGTTAATTATCACAAAATATCATAAGTAATTTTTTTTTAATTATAACTAAAAAAATGAGTCATTACCAAATGCCACATAAGTTATAAGTAAAATAATAGTTATCAACGAAAATATCTTTAATTTTTAAATTACTAAACTAACCCTCTGATTAATGTCATTAATCACATGAGAAGTCCGTGTAATATTGAAAAAAGAAAGAGAGGGGAATGTAATTGTCAATAATTTATCCTAGTATTTAGGATAAATTACAAATACACCTCTGAAGTTTACTTAAAATGTAGATTGGTCCTTATAATTTGAAAAATTAAGAATTTTTTATTTAAAAGAATTAATTGAAAAAATAAAATTCATAATTATTCTCCTATACAATAACAAAATTACTTAAATTATTAATTGAAAGATAATTTTAACATCATTAAAAACTGTTAATTGATTTGATTTATTAATAAAAGGAATAATTTGTTATAAAATTAAAAAACCTCATGAGTGAAATGTAATTTTTAAAATTATAAGAAACGATTTGTATTTTAATAAAATTTCATCCTAGTATTTAGGATAAATTACAAATACACCTCTGAAGTTTACTTAAAATGTAGATTGGTCCTTATAATTTGAAAAATTAAGAATTTTTTATTTAAAAGAATTAATTGAAAAAATAAAATTCATAATTATTCTCCTATACAATAACAAAATTACTTAAATTATTAATTGAAAGATAATTTTAACATCATTAAAAACTATTAATTGATTTGATTTATTAATAAAAGGAATAATTTGTTATAAAATTAAAGTGAAATGTAATTTTTAAAATTATAAGAAACGATTTGTATTTTAATAAAATTTTAAGATATATTTATAATTTATCCTAATATTTATTTATCAGATGACATGACAACATATATAAAATTGGTGGATAAAATTCAGAGCCCATCTCTCTCTCTTCTCTCTTCTCTCTTCTCTCATCTCTGATAGTGGAAATCTCAGATCAGGTATGGCCTCCTTACCTTCACCTTCCCCATTCAAACTAAATGTTCTTCTGATTATCTGATTTATATATATATATACACATCTGTATGATGATTTGAGTAACGCAAGCGCTTGTTTATGGAGGAAATTGAGATACTTTTTGAGATGAAGTTAGTAATGGTCTCTCGTTGTTATTTGTATTGTGCATTTGTGATGTTTATGGCTTGTGCCAATTTTATTTATTTATTTTTAACCTGATCTATCTATGACTTTCAAAAAATTGATTTTGATTTTGATTTTGATTTTTTAAAAGGTATCCCAAATCTGTTCTAATTTCATAGGTTTTTTTCTTTCTTTTTTTTTGTTATTAAAAAAAAAAAAAAACTTATATAATGACATCTCAAAATCTAAGGGAAAATAGTTCGTCAATCAAGATGGATCATCACTCTACCAATTGTAGCAGCTCCTGTCATAAGCTTTGTTTGAAAATTATGAGATTCATATGCCATTAAGCTTATGTATGCTAATGGGGGAATCTCCCCTCAAGACCTCATCATCTACGTACTCCACTTTGTGAGCTCCACGGAGCCTACGACGGTGATATGAACCATTCAACTCATAGGCCTCGAGGAGAAAGAATATATTTGGAAACAAGTGGTTTGATTGGATACCAATAGACATACTAATGAATCATTTTTTATTTTATAAAATGAATGGTAAATATGATTTTAAATTAAAACCCCCATTTTATGGAACAAAATACAATAAGTTAGTATACCTATCGATGTCCAATCAAGCTAATTTATATATATATATATATATGTTCTTCTCTTCAATGCCTATAAAATGAACGGTTCAAATCATTGTCATGGACCTCATAAGGCCATGAAGTGGAGTCCTGAAAGGTATGGAGAATATGAAGTCTCGAGAGGAGTTGCTCCCAATGCTCATAGCATTCAACTTATTCTTTTGATTCCCCACCCCACCTATTAAAAAAAATTATTCAGCTTCTTTGGTTTGAAATTTCAACATTCACTTTTCAGAAAATTAAATTTTTTATTTTTTGTATTTTTGTATTTTTACTGAATTTTTTTTAATATTCTAAGCAATTTTTTAAAATTTTGAGATACACCTAACATAAATACACTTAAAATATGAAGTCTCGAGAGGAGTTGCTCCCAATGCTCATAGCATTCAACTTATTCTTTTGATTCCCCACCCCACCTATTAAAAAAAATTATTCAGCTTCTTTGGTTTGAAATTTCAACATTCACTTTTCAGAAAATTAAATTTTTTATTTTTTATATTTTTTGTATTTTTACTTAATTTTTTTTAATATTCTAAGCAATTTTTTAAAATTTTTAGATACACCTAACATAAATACACTTAAAAAGTATAATATTTGTGAAAAAAATCTATAGAAAATTCACTAAATACCAGAAATACAAAAATAAAAAATAAAAAAAATTGAGAATTCAATACATTTTTCATATTCTTGTGTATTTATCAATTTTTTAAAATATTGTTTTACAAATATTTTACTTTTTAGATACATTTAAGTAAGGTACATCTAAAAAAGTAAAAAAAAAATGCTTAAAATTTTAAAATTCACTAAAAACAATAAAATACAAAAAATAAAATATTCAATTTCTAGAAAATTGAATCCAAAAAATTGGAACCAAACACACTGATTGCAATTTTACTTCATAATAAAATTCCAACTTTGCCTCCAACCCTAACCTCCCAAATCTTAACGCCAACCTTACATCCACCCAGCCACCACCAGCTCTGGCTACCCTCCCCAACCTCCCCATCTCGTCCTTAGCCTCACTCACCCCTGCAGCCCCCCCACCCTTTGGCGCCCTCACCATTGCAACCCACTTGAACCACACACACACAGAGTTGGGGATGGCAGAGGAGGGTGGCAACAGGGAGCTGGTGGAGTGGGAGTAGGGTTAGGGTTTGATAGGGTGAAGGTTAATTTTAGTATTAAGTGGGGGTGTCCAAAGAATTTTTACAAAATTTTAAGTTTGTTGGTGGGGGGATCCAAAGAAATAGGAGGTCCTAAGAAATTATGTGGATGCTATTAGCAGCACCTTTTGAAAATTTTGAGATTCATTTTCCATTACCAAAACCACTTTAAATTTTCACCGTCATCTTGGGAAGCTAATTTAAGTTATTGATAGTTGTATTTTTTTTTTCCTTTATTTTATTCAATAACTTAGTGGCATATTTGGGTGGCATGCCCAAATAGAGAATGTTGTATTCATGTGATTATTATGTTTTGAGAATTACTTGTGTTCTAGCGGGATCTTGAGATGTTCAACATTGATGCCATTTGAACTCTTAATGAAATAAATTGTCTTGAAACAGGTAAAAATGCAAGGTGGAATCCAAAAACTGATGTCACATGGGAAGAATGCAGTGCTTCAACACATCCGTTTAGTGAACCCAGTAATGCGCCCTCTTTTGTTTCCTCGCTATGAGTCAGTAGCTGCTTCTTCTCGCATGGAAGAGCATGGTTTTGAAAGCACCACCATTTCTGATATCTTGAAAGGCAAAGGTAAAAGTGCTGACGGATCCTGGCTGTGGTGTACTACAGATGACACTGTTTATGAAGCTGTGAAATCGGTATGTTAAATGCGATTTGTGTGTATTTGGTACACACATTTGTACGTCAGTACATGTCTATGTATTGAAATCTTTTTGTGTCTATTCTTTCTAATAATACGAGCATTTTATGTGAAGAGAAAATAAATTCTATCAATTGCAGATGACACAACACAATGTTGGAGCCTTGGTTGTTGTGAAACCTGGGGAGCAAAAGTCAATTGCTGGGATTATAACAGAGAGAGGTAAGTGAGAAGTCTTTTATCTACTTCTAAGAACCCACAACTGATCATTAAAGCATGATTTCCACCATTTTTCGAATGGTTTCTGATCCATTCTTTGACGTATAGTCATACAGTGTTTGTAATTTTGCAGTTGTGTACACTTTTAACTGCCCATGAAGTCCAACATATGAAATTATGTTTTCAAAAAATATATGAGAAATTTCACAATTGTAGTGAGCGTATCTAAGTAATTTCGTAGTTACTGTAATTGAGAAATTTCTCAATTAACAGCTTTTGTGTTCGTAACTAAGAAAATTTGCAATTATTATAACCAAGAAATTTGTCAATTTTCTGCGATGTAATTTCTCATTTTTTTCCTTCGAAATTGTATACTTGAATACAGATCTTGTTTGATAGCTCTCCTGTAACATTTTAGTGGTAGTTTGTAATGTAACATTGTAGGATGAAGATGAAATTGATCACTTGAGATTGAGTTGATTTTTACCCAAAATGCATCATGTTAACTCGGCATTTGACTACACACTCTGCAACCTGCACTAGATGTGGTACAGTCGTAATTTTTATCGAGTTAATTATAGTCTAATTTGGCAATTGTATTCCAGATTATCTCAGGAAGATCATAGTACAGGGAAGATCATCCAAATCAACCAAAGTCGGGGACATCATGACTGAAGAGGTATTAACTTTTGCCCCTTCCACCAGTGGTGTAGATTGTACCTCAGGATTTATTTTCATTTTTTTTTTTTACACATATTTTCTGGTGATTGCAGAACAAGCTCATCACAGTCAAGCCCGATACTAAAGTTCTAAAGGCAATGCAACTGATGACAGGTCAATTATGCTGTGTTGTTGATTATGTTTCATAATTTTAAATCAAGTGAATCTAATGTAGCTTTTGGGCTTGTTGATTTATAGATAATCGCATCAGGCACATTCCAGTTATCGATGACAAGGAAATGATAGGCATGGTGTCCATCGGAGATGTGGTTCGTGCTGTGGTGAGTGAGCATCGAGATGAGTTAGACCGCTTGAATGCATATATACATGGCGGTTACTAGATGATGATGATGAAAACAATTAGCTGTTGGGCTGTTGGATCGTATTTTTACTGTTCAAAAACAAGTAAGCCTAATGCTTGTAAATATAGTATGTTTATGTTGTGTGCCAAGTGCATCTACTAAGCCACTGTTTTGCCTCCATATGCTGATGTTGGATTATCTAAAAATCAGTGTAACGACTGAGGTTAATAATAATAAGCACTAAAGCCGCCTTGAACTTATTTCTTTGTACTTTGGTGATAGGTTACTGAAGAATAACATTGTGTTTCGACTGTTGGTAACCCTACTCTCCTAGCATTTTATACATGGTACACACCCAAGAGTAATTTCTTTTTGATATGAGGTCCCAGATTAACTGAAACCGTAACTTAGTGAAATAGATTTTTGCATTGTGACATTTTGTTAAGGAATACTTTGATTACAAATCTTTGTTTTTGGGGGGGTAAATTACACTGACCTCCCTTGAGGTTTGAAAAAAATACAATAAACTCCACTGTTTTGACATAATTACATTGAGCTTCTTATGGTTTTAATTAACATAACACTTAGTCCTATTTTCATCAATATAGATGGAAAAATGTTGTCATCTCTTTTACATAACAATGCATATTTTACCTTATTTTTGTATTTTCACACTATCTGCATTAGTTCCAATCCATTTAGCCTTACTAAACGAGAAGTTTGTATAATTATGTCAAAATGTGAGATTGCTTGTATTTTCTCTAAATCTCAGGGATAGTCAATGTAATTTACCTTCTCTTTTTTGTCGTTGCTCAATGTGGCCATATAGAACAAGTTCTTATTCAAATGGACATGTAGGTTATACCTTGCCTCAGACATTTTCTTATTAGATAATATGTCCACAAAATCTCATTGTTCTTGGTAACTTTCCAAGATGTTTTTCTTCTTTTTGCTTCTCTCCCATTGCTTCCTTAGATGAAGACGGCACTCTAAGTGTAACTGTGACTTTATTTGCCCTTCTTCAACTGTCAAACTATTTTGTCGAATAGAAAGAGGTAACTAAATGGTTTCTGGAGGATTTAATGATCTTTGTTCTATCTCACAAGTTCCCTCTCGGGCAACTCACACGCTGATTCTGTCATTCTTTGAAATGATTAAATCACATTTTTTGTTTTGTTGAAGGTGGTATTGTATGGCTAGATGATGTATTTTTAAGTCTCGTCTTTACGACTGATTCTCTTTTCATTAATCGACCTTCCATGGTTGTTCTTGATTGAAGACAGTTTCAAATGCATCTCCAATAATAAAAGTAGAGAGATACTTGAAATTTGTGTAAATGGATGTCTTGTATTACTGAGAATGATTCAGTTGGATGGAAAGGGGGCAAGTTTTCAGCTTCTTGGAGGCTTGAAACTTATTTTCCAGCCATCAAGCCGTGTCTGATAGATTTCGAGTATTGTGGTCTATATATTTATGTGGTGTTTGGATTTTGATTTGCAATTGAATTTGTTGAGGGAAAAGAAAAGGAAAGAGAGTGGTGCTAACCCCATCTCTAAATAATGCCCAGAAGCAATTAGAAAGCTGAAATGAACGTCTTTCCGGAACATGGATTTGTGGCTATTCGGTCAACCCACATTTTAATGTTTAGAGTCAGTAATCTTGTCACCATTTCATATCATTTCCTACATGGATAATCATCATTGGTTCCCTTGTTTCAATATAATTATTGTAGATTTATGCTCCGTTTGGTTGGGAGATTTGAGGAGAGATTTAGAAAGGAAAATGAGAAAATTAGGTGAAATATGAATAAAATATACTTACATTTTACTTAATTTCACATACATTTTTTCTTCCCCTTTTCAAAGTCCTCCCTAAATTTTCCAACCAAACACAGCATTAGTGAAAAAACAATGAAAAAAGTGGTATATAGCAACCCTCTCTTCGAGGTGTACTGTTGTCTCTTACTAAGGCGGTGTTTGGTAAGATTTTGGTTTGGTTTTTTTTTTTATTTTTTCCACTAAAAGACAGTTTGTGTAAAACTAAAAAAAACAAATACAAACAAAATATCACATTCAACTCCATAATCATTTCATTTTTTCTCTCACAAATATTACATATAACCACAAAAAAATTCAACTATCTTCCCAAAATTCAAAAAAAAAAATTCTCCAATAATATGCTACAATTAAAAAAATTTACATAAAAATCCATTTCTCAAACACCCACTAAATGCATTGATGATATACATGCCAGATATGCAATGATTTTTTTTTTTTTTTAGTTAAAAAAAAGTTAAAAAGTAGGGTAAATTACAAATATACTATTTAAAATTTACATAAAATACGAATTATCTCATGTGATTTAGAAAATTACAAATATTTTTTTGTCATAATTTTTTATTTAATAGAATTAATTGAAAAAGTAAAATTTTTAACTGCTTACCTATATAATAATAAAATAAATAATGTTATATGTACCAATTAATGTACACATTAGTGTACTAATAGATGATGTGGCATCATTTGAATGGTTTTAAATATTTGTAACTTGTATAATAAATGTGGCCAATAATAATATTATAACACTAGTTGGTATACTAATGTATATATTAACTGGTGCATGTAGCACCACCGTAATAAAATTATCTGAATTATTAATTGAAATAAAATTTTAACATTATTAAAAATTGCTAATTAACTTAATGATTTATTAATAAAATGACTTATTTGTTATGAAATTAAAAACCTTAGGGACATAATGTAATTTCTAAAAATACAGGGAGTAATTTGTAATTTAAATAAATTTCGAAGAGTGTGTTTGTAATTTATCCTAAAAAATAATAACAATAAAAAAGAATAATTAAAAAGTCATTAAAAAAAAAGTTAAAACATTTTAGTCATCCGTGATTTTTTATACAATTAAAAAAAATGGTTCTCAAACATATGAAAAATTTTAAACAGCAATGGTACCTCCCACTAAAAGTGGTGCTCTAAAGCACCACTAATGAGTTGGCACCCATTTTTTAAAAAAAAAAAAAAAAAAAAACAAGACACAAAAACATTGTGGCAGTGGGTCCCATCCACTACCACATCATTAGTGGTAGCACTAATTAGTGCTCCCACTCATTTTCTAATTTTAAAAATTATTAGAAAAAGTCAATTTCCAAATGAATAATGCTTGGGACCCCCTTTTGGGGGTGACCCCCTCACCCCCCTTTGCCATGTAGCAGGGGGTGATTGGAGGAGCAGGAAAAAAAAGAAAAAGAAAAAGAAAAGATAACCAATGAGAGAGAGAGGAGGTCAAAGGGGATGGGAAAAAAGGGATGAATCATTACTCTTTCCAAATATATCTTAGTCACCGCTACACTACTTTATTAGTTACCATTATTGGTATTAGGAATAGTAACTAAGTAACTAAGCGTACCTGTTACTCTTATACTTAACAAAGAAAGGAAGAGAGGCAGGCTTTCTAAAGCGACTTTCGCCGTTGGTGAACCTTCATCCATCAGTAATTGAGTTACTTCTACGTCTTGGTTGAAGGAATGAATGTTTATTTTCTCATATTAATTCCTTGGACAGAGAGTGTTAGTATAACAGTTGATTTTAGGAGACTGTTCGAGCGGTCATTTGGTCGTTCGAGCGTAAATGCACAGCTCTCAGTATCTTGCATATTTGCAGGTGAGATCGTTCGAGCAATGAAGTGATCGCTCGAGCGTAAAATCCAGACTCCCAATATTTTTACTGTATCTCTGTAAAACTTTTAGAATATTGCGTTTACCGCTCAGGCGTTGAAAAGTTTGTTCGAGTAGTGTGGCCACAACAACTCACTTAAAAGTCGATCAAACACTCATTTTTCTCACTTTTTCCAACTCTTCTCTCTCTAGCACCCTTCCTCCGAAACCCTGTTTGGTTTGTTTTGTAGAAAAATTTTTGAGAAAAATTCTCTACAAACAAATTTTCAAGAGTAATCAAACTAAACAAATTTTTTCAAAAAAAATCTCAAAATTTTGTTTGGTTATCTACTTTCCAAAATCACTCTCTCTCTCTCATACACATCAAATCAATCACTTTTTTTAAAACTCTCTCCCCAAAGCAATTTTCCAAAACCATTTATGAAAAAAGGTAAACCAAACAAGTTTTCGTACTTTTTATCTCAAAAACTATTCTACAAATACAAACTAAACACCCTTGATTTTCCTTAATTTCTACCTAGATCCACCTTAGATTTTCAAAAAGGGGTAAAGAACAAGTCTAGACTAAAAATACTACCGATTGTTTTCTCATTTCTTGGTGCTTGAAGTTGGGTATTTACCATTTGCCTTCAATTTTGAGGTAGGGTACTTTTAACTCATTATATTCTTAATTTGAGATATATATGTGATAATTTCTTAGATGTAATATGGTATGAGATGCTTTGTTAAATTAAAGTGGTTTGTTTAGTTAATGGGAATTTGTATCTAAAAATTGAGAAAAATTGTAAAAATTTCTTATTGATTCTTTATGTTGGAAATGAATATTGACTTTTTATATGCTAATGGGAGGAAGGCCCCAATTTTTCTAAAAATCCTAATTTTTAAATTTGATTTAATAATGAATTTGGTCAAATTGACTCTTAAATCTTGAAATTTGGTGAATAATTATGGAAATGGTGTTGAGACATGAGGTCATTGAAATTTCTTGGACATATGTATTAAAACGGATGAATATTGAGATTGTGAAAAATGGTGGGATTGGAGAAAATTTTTATTGTTGATACAATTACATGTTGTTGTGAATTGAACAAATCTTATGAAAATTGGGTTTGAAAACTCGTGCACCATGTGCATCACAATTTTCTCATGTGATTTTACAATCTTGTGGATGTTTGGAAAATATCAGGGGGTAAATAATGTATGAGTCTGGGTAGTTGAGTCAGGTTTCGAAAATTGAGTTGTGTATCGTATTTGGTACCCGCACAGGGAGTTAAGGTGCTCAATTGTCCTGTTTGCGCATATTACCGGACGAATGTGGGAAATGTTTTTTAAGTGTCCACGAGCATGTCGTTTATAGAGTTAGCGAATGTGAAAAAAACTTAATTTTGAGTGTCTACAAGCTTGCTGTTTCAGGAGTCTGCAAAAGTAGAGAACGAAAGTCATTTATACAATCTTCTGTATACAAATCTATATATGTATATTGGTTTCATGGCTCTGGTTTGGAAAGTCATAACGTATTTACCACTCCATCGTTGTGGATGAGTGTTTAAATTGGAATCATGCATTGAACATTTTTGGTTTTTAAAAGAGAATTTGAGTTTTATCCTTACAGTACATGGCATAATCATA